GAATTGTATCATTCGTTTCAAATGATGATGTCTTTACATAAGCGTATATTGAATAACAAAAATGGTGTGCGACTTTTTTTAACTATACATTATTGTAACACCAATATACTCAATCTATGTTTATATACGTGTTTTATATTAACAAAAAATACATAAGGCGACAAAAACGTTACGTAACTGGAAAAAAGACGTATAGAAAAAACTGTATGTAATGATACCAGTAGAACCTGGATAAAATATACCATACTATCTGTAATGAATAAGAGTTTTATTTTTTAGATAAATAACTCCCAATTTAAATTTTTATTTTTTTATTCTTTTTTGTACCCAATTATAGGCATAATAAGGTTTCTACAGTATCTTCTAAAATAATACAAGAATTTACAAAGCATTTTTCGCAAGTTCACTGTACATTATTATTATTATTATTTGTTCATTGTAAATATATTAAAATTGCTATTATGAAAAAACGAATTTGAGACTGATTCATACATAAAATGTTTGTAAATTTAGATTTTAAAGATTTTAAACAATCGAAAACAAATCGGTGATTATGTTATGTCATAATCTGTTTAGTATTAATTTTATTATAAAATAATTCTTTACAATTATAAAAGAAACTAATAGAAGAAAAAGAGACAACAATATTTGTTACAAACTATTTGATATTCCAAACATTAGGAACAACAAGAAAATTGAAATCTATTGTATATAACTAAATAACATAGAAAAAGAGTATATACTTTTCAAGTCGTATTTAAATGCTATATAAATTTCTATTCATATAAATATTTTAAGAATATGGCACATATTTACAATGTAATTATTTTTTTAAAAAATTACTTAATTAATTTATCATCATATAATCTTTAAAAATTTTTTTTAAAGAAAAACATAATCGAACATATTTTAATGTACACTATTTTTAATTGTAAAGACATATATCACAGTCACAAAATCTATCTGTAATATTTATATATTTTAAATCTAAGAAATATTTTTGGAAATTTTGAATCTTGTTCAAGTCAATATGATGTAAACTCCTGTTTTTTCTTGTTTCAAAGTATATACGCGTTTTAATATTTAACAGATTAATTATTATTAACATGATAATTATTATCAATCAAGAGATAATAAAGATCTAATCCATTGAAATCCAACGTTTTTTTAATGCAATCTTTCATTTGTAATTTTTTTAATTAATTTATATTATTTTATCTTTAACATGATAATTATAAAAAAATTTAAGAATTTTAAGAATTTTTACTTCACTTCTTCTATTTAGATTTCATAACAACAGTTGGATGTTAATGGATATCGCCATTTAATGTCTTAATTTATTATCTTACTTTCTATCTACTATACGTATATATATTTCATTTTATATGTAAGTCAAACTGTAAGTTCGGGAAATATATTTATTAAAATTTGATCTAGCAAAACATATGCCAGATGTTTATTAAAAGGTCCATTTTGTAATGAATCCAAAATGAAATCCATTATTTCAATCCATGGTTTATAAAATCCCATTAACCAATAAGGTAACAAACCATACAATCCTTTTTTTGCTGTTTCATAGTAATTTCGACGATTAATTTGAAAAGATGAATCCTTTGTGTGATTTTTATCATCCATTACTTTTGCGTGCAAAAGTTTTACCACAGTAGCTGCACGGCCACTGCTTAAAAGTTTTGCTAACACATTATAGAGTAGAATATTGGCATATGGATCCATCTTTGCTGATTGTGATGATGAAATAAACATCCAGAAAATTCGTGAAATTATTGATGGTACATTCAATAACCTGATCACTAAAACAATAATAATTGAATGTTTATAATAATTAGAAATTATTTATATTATTTATAAAATAAATAAATTAGGATTATTTCAAAATATGTTGATTTTTGTATATTTTATTTATAATATTATATTATATATATATTATATTTTATTAATAATTTATTTATATTTGTATTATTTATTTTTTATTTGTATCTACATTCATTTTGTCATTCATATCATTGTTTTAATTATTATTTTGTATTTATTCATCAAGATAAAAATAAGATTCTTTTTTAATGTCAATAAAAGAATATAATAATAGTATAAAGCATTAAAGAAAAAGAGAGAAATAAAAAAAAGAAACTTACCAGCACCTACAACACGAAAAGATTCACTCTTAATATGAGATCGTTCCAATGAAGAAGATAACGTCCGAAAATTAAGATCTAAATTAAGATTGTTTCCAAATATTCCGAACAATAAATCACGATGTCCTTTTTTTTCTATTTCATTTATTGTTGAATCGCTTGATGGTTCAATTCCAATATCCATATAATCATTTTTGATATTAGTGGAAGCCAAAAATACCGACATAAATTTATCCAAATGTTGTCCTTTCTCTTTTCGTAGTTTATATGCCATATTTTGATATAATATACCAATATCTGGTGTACTATAATTTGTAAAGTAAGGTTTTAAATTTGGCACAGTCAAGAAATTATATAATAATTCACTACTTCTAAGCACTGGCTTTGATAATAATTTTTCCAAAAAATCTTCATAGCGTTGTCTATTAATAGCACAAGATGAATGTGGATTTTTTCTTGAAGGTAATGGTGAATCACTTAATTCTTTATCTCCATGAAATTCAGCTAATCGTGTTCGTAAAACATAAAAATCTTGATCGCGACGTAAAACTGTCCAAGATTTTCCTTCGGCAATATTATGTACAGCTATTACGTATAATGTTTGATTATCTCCAGTTTCAATGTGTGGAATACTAATTCGCCATGTTGTTAAATCCCTGTGAAAACTATCATCCGAATACTTGATTTCATTGTAAGGACGAGAAGGATAATCTATTTCTTCACCTTGGTATATATCTTGATAGGACATTCCATCTATTGTAGATGATCTTAATACACCATCGATCTTTGGAAAATGATTCCCTATCTTTGAAGATACATTTGTAGATCCACTAGTAACACTTAAATAAAAATTATATATATTTTAAAGTACCTCTTAGAAAAATAATATTGATTCATTTGGCCACATAATTCATCATAATTATTTTATAAAAATGTTAAAAATTTTAAATTTTTAGCTATTTTATGATTTTATCATAATTAATATTTGTTCTAATAATATAATTAAACAATTAAAAAAAATATAAAAAAATTACCTTGTACATGATATCTGTTTTATTCGACTTGGAACTGCTTGTCCACATAATAAATCATATAACTGTAATATTACATAAAAAATAATTATATTAAAAGATATTATTATTATAATTATAAAGATAAATTATTATATTAAAATTATATTAAGTAATATAAAATAAAGACATACAACTATTCAATTTCCTTACTTGATAACTATGATGGAAAGATGGTAAACAAGTAGATTCTAATAAAGCATGTGCCTCCTGATGTGCTTGATAAAATGGTCGTGAAGTTCTCATTTCCTGAATCTTCTTTGAACCTTTTTCAAGAACTAAGAATAATATTGACATATAATGCAATTATATTCATGTATATTAATATATTGTAATAATAATGTATATTCAAAAAATAAAATGATTCATATAACAATATTAAATAACTTATAAATTACTTGTATAAAAAAAAGTTTCATAATATGTTTCATAAGTTTCAAAAGTTATATAGTATGTAATAAATTATAAAAAAAATATAAAAAAATACATACTAAAAATTTTAATGCTCATTACCAATGAAATTTTAAAAAACTTACTTTGTCTTATCCCTATTGATATATCTTCTGGTAAATGTAAATATTCTGGACCATCAGGATCTAAATATGTTGCATACATATTTTGAATATCTGTATACAAACTATTTTCTGCATTCAAACTCATATCTGGATTTAACATACGCTTACTCAGATCATCTGAAAATATATTAAAACTTTTCAAATTTTAATTCATATTCAATAATATCAATTTTAAATTTACTAGAAATTTATTGATTCAAATTTATGTTGTAAATATTGTTGTAAATATTGTTTAATTTAAATCCAAAATTTAATTCCAGAAAATTTAATTTTAAAAAGAATTATTATTGTAGACTAATACATAAAAATTTTGTATATATTTACCAATATCTAAACAGAATTGAAAAAGATTCATTGGTCCAGTTTCTTTAATGTGTTGCATAAACATATATAATAATCGAGGATCATTCAAAATTTCATCCAATGAAGGTTTCAAATGATTCTGCATAATTTTAGAGATTAATGGTATTGTCACCCAGCATTGCAACATTGGCACATTAATCGCATCTATATGACTACATATTGAATCTTCATGATGAGTAGCCAAAGTTATTAATGCATTTATGTTATCTGGATCAGCAATAGCATCTATTGCTGGCAACAAAATCCAATTAGCTAAAATTTCACGAAGTATAACCTAAGAACATAATAAAAATTAAGAGTTTGTAATTGTAATGATTATATTGAGTTGGATAAGAAGTCCAATATAGTAATATAGTTTTTAAATTTTTCTTTAACTATTTTTTATTAATTCCTTATAAAGTCAAATTAATGAATTATTTAAAAAAATGTTTTTTGATTGTTTTAATTATTAATTACTTAAATCTAAGATCTTAAAACTAAGAAAAATTAATTAATTTTATTATAGCAAATAATATAGCAAAACTAAACATATAGTATAAAATAGTTGAAAATTTCATTCTTTCAATTTTATAAAAACTTACTTTATTGTTAATAGATACATGAATAGCTGGCAATAGATGTGGTATAATTGCAGTTACTACTCCTCTGAGATAATTTAACTCTGCTTTACGCGAATAACTGGCTGGATGTATTTCACAACCGAAGTGATCGATTAATTGATTTCTAAAGGAAGACGTGTCCGATATATCTTTCACTTTCGTACGTAATGTTTTCCAATCTTGAGCATGTTGCAATATTAAGGGTATTAAGTGATAAAAGACGATATTAGGGACGTCTGTGCGAAGCAATCGCACTGTAATATTTTTCGTTGCTGTGGCTGTTGCCAAACGAAGTTGTTGTACGAACGCTTCATTCGTTGAAAAATTCGAATACCACGCGCAAACATATTTCTGTAATAGATCTTCCAAAAGCTGTAAAAGAAAATAATTTTTATATTATTCACAGATTCGAAAGAATTTAAAAAAAAATACAAATATATATATACATCGTTATTAAATATTTTTTTCATTATTTAATTACATACAATAAATGAAATATTTTTTTTATTCTTCTTAAAATTATTTTTTACAAAAATAAAACAATAAAATAAAAATATTATTATTATTATTGTTGTTGTTGTTATTATTATATTTATTATTATATTAAATTTAAGTTATTATAAAATATTTTACAAACAAATGACTTCTAAAATCAATGTTATTATTATTATTATAATAATATATATAATAATATTATTTTACATTGAGATAAACTTTGCTATCTATAATGTAAACATAGAATAATTACTTGTTCTAAAGCATGGTCAAAATCTTTGGGAATTTTCACTTTAGTTGAATGTGGTAACAATTTATGCCTCTTGCAACTGTTATTACTACAAACACTGCATGGATCTTTAATTTCATAAGTTGGTTTAAAAGTATCACTTAATGCCTTCAAATCCACACCTATATACTCTAATATAACAAGTCCATAAAAGATACTTGTTATATAGAGACAACATATAATAAGTACCCAAATAATGCTGAAATTTTTTAATAAATAACAAAATTATTTATTCTTTTATTTTTTATCTAAAAAGTAAACTAAGATTTTTTATGTTAAATATTTTAATATGTAAATATATGTAACATATAATTATTTAATATATAATTATGTAATATATGTATAATTATATAATTAATTATACAATAAAATATAGCGATTGTGAAAAAAATTCATACAATTTATAACATTTTAATTCATTTTTATAATTACATAAACTTTAATAAAAATTCAAAAACTTATCTGATAATTACAAAAAAAATTATTTTTATTATTTATTATTTTATTATTTTTGTTAATAAAAAGCGAAATAATAAAAATAAAAGTATTAAAATAATAAGATAACCTAATTACAAAATAAAAATAAAATGAAAATAAAAATACCATTAAAATTAAATAATATAATAATAATACAATAATTTGAAAATATATACTATAAAATAAAGGTATATCAATTACATACCTTTCGAATACAATTGAAACAAACGCAATCAGTATAAAAACAGTCGCTAGAATTATTACATTACATATAGTGATTATTATATTATAAAAATCTTGTATTTTATTAGTAGATATAAATGCCATTTCTCTAATAACAATTCTTTTTATTATAATTATAGTAAAACATTGTTATTATATTATCTTCGCATAATATTCAAATAACTAAAATATGACACAAGGTTTCAAAGATGGTTTCACAGGATAACATATGATATTAGTATTGAACAATGGAGATATGTATACCTATAGTTACTTAATATGTATCGAAACGCAGAATTAAAAATCGTTTTATGTTTTGATAATTAATATAATTTTGTCTCTTTAAAGTACATATTAATTTTATAACCTAATATTAATGTGATATATAATTAAAAAATTAAAACTGATAATAATTTTCATTTCAAAAGATCAAAAATTTAAGTAAAAAGTTTTATCTCATTGTTTTTATAAGAACTCATTTTAATGTAAAACTTACTTAAATTTATTTATATATTATTTATTTTTTAAAAATATTTTTATTTAAAAATTATTAATAAAATTCTATATATATTTTTAAATAAATCTTAACAAAATTTATTAAAATCTTGATTTATATTATATTAGAAATTTTATAATAGTAAATATAATCACACAAAACTTATTTCAATGGCAATATTTCCTCCTGATCCAAAATATATTTTTCGTGGTAACATGGGTAGTGTAAATTGTATTCTTTTTCAAGTAACTTCCAATATAGAACATCTTTATGCAGGTACTGCTAAGGGTAATATCCATGTTTGGGATTTAAATGTAAATAAAATACTTTATATTTTTATTAAGTAATTTTCAAATATTTTATAAAATAAGATATATAAAAATTTGAATTATGTAAATAACTTAAATAATAAATATATATATAATATATATTATAATATATAATAATATTATATAATATATATATAATTATCATTTTTTAAATAATATAATGATATAATTTTTTTATATTGAAGACAAATAGAGAATTATATCAAATTACATCAAACCAGGATTCCTGTTTAAATTTACAAAATTTGAACAATGACAATTTATTTGTACAATATAAATGTGGTTTATTAAAAGTATATAAGAAAACAGAAGCTCAATGGATCATACATAAATCAATGAATATAGATTTTTATCATTATTGCAGGTATATATATATGTATATACGTACATGTATGTAAAATTTTTAATAGCTTTAAAAAAGTTTTTTAGTAAAAAACTAAATATTTTTAGAATTATATAAAAATAAATCAAAATACTAAAATTCTTGTTATTGATTTTTGTTAATTTAATTTATATTAATTTAATATGTTCACAACAGGTTTCAAGTATTTTCTGATAATGAAATATTTATACCACTTAAAGAATCCACTGTTGGAATTTTATCTTCAGTTACTTTTAATATAGAATTGAAATTGAATACTTCAAATTTTCAAAATTTAGGAGAAATAATGGCTATTAAACCACTGAAAAATGAAAAATTAGTTTTAATTGCTTATGAAGTAGGAAAATTAATCCTATGGGATATTCGACAAAATAAAATATTAAGTTCTTTAAATGTAGAAACATGTCCAATGGCTTTAGATTTTGATACTACTTTAATGAAAGGAGTTATTGCTGGTCCTTCTGATAATTTACAGGTAAAAATTAAAAATAAATATAAAATGAATATAAAAAATGAATTAATTAGAAATTAGAACTAATATGAATTCACATATAATGATATAAATTTTTAATTTTTAGATATTTACTTTATCAGTTAATCATTTATTAAATAATAAAAATAAGATAACTATAACAAATCCTGGTACTTCTATAATAACAATTAGACCTGATGCTAAAATTATGGCTGTTGGTGGATGGGACAGTCGAGTTAGAATATTTTCTTGGAAAAATTTAAAACCATTAGCTGTTTTAAATCAACATAAAGATACTGTACAAGATATTAATTATTCTATACAAGGGATAAGAGGATATGATAACAAATGCATAATGGCTACAGCTGGAAAAGATGGATATATTGCATTATGGGATATTTATAATTAAACTTTAATTATTAATTATTAATCAAAAACTATTGAATAATTTAAATAATGATTTTTTTAAGTAATTAAAGATTATCTTATTATGTTATTAATTTATATAAAGATTTAATTAAATTAAATGAAATAATTTCATACAATATATATAAAATTATATACTATTTTATTGTACTTCAATTTGTGTAAATGTTAATTTTTTATTAATAAATTATGTATATTTAATATCATATATAAAATATGATTGAAAAGTTATTAAAATATATAATTATATATATTAATATATATTATATTCATATATATTAGTTTTATTTTTAATTAAAATTCTATTTTAATTAAGTAAAAATTAAAAATACAAAATTATTAAAATTATAAATTATTATAAATTATATAGAATAAACAAAAATTTTAAAAGTAGAATAATATTTTTTCAAAATTTTTTCTAAGTGAATATATAATTTAAAAAATATAATAAATTATAAAATTTTCTATAATGATACATTGAAAATTATTTTAATTTAATAATTTAATTATTTATTATGAATTTGCAAATTATTTAGTATTTAAGCTATTTATAGAGGTTAATGCTTCGAATGTGTCTATTTTCAACAATCGCTTATATTATTTATCTTAAATTATTATATTTTATTAAAATACACAATAGATACACAATTTATACACAAATAGATGTAATATAATGATTTATTTTAATTATACTAATATAATTTGATAAAATTCAAACAAAATTAGAATTCATAGTATATTTTAAAATATATTATACTAATCTTAATACTAATTTTATAATAATTATTATATTATATATTTAATTATATTAATGATTGATAATTATTATTTATTTATTTTTGCTATATTAAATATTATTGTTATTTAAATTTTATCTAACATAGTATATTTGTTAATGTTGAACATGTTTATTACACAAATATCAGTTATGAGTAAAAACTTTTATTTAAAACAAAATGTATCATTACAAATTTTAAAATATTCAAGTGTGATTAGAAAACAAACGCCAGTTGAATATTGTTTGGAATTAGTTAGGTACTTTATAATTATTAATAATGAATATATGTGTGGTTATTCTATATAATATACAATATATACAACATATACATATATATGTATATATATTATTTTTAATATTTCATATAAAAATTAATAATTAATAAGTAATTAATAAAATAAGTAAAAAAATATTTAATTATGGTTTATGAATATTAATTTTAAAAAATTAATTTTTTTCTAATAAATAATAATTTTCTAATAAAAAAGATATAAATAAAAAAAATAAATTTTTATTTCTTAATATTTTAATATTTTTCAGAAATCATGATTATGAAAATTATTTATGTACATTACTGTTATCACATAAAAATAAAGCAGCTGCATTTGTAATCCGTGCATTTAATGTTGAAATAGCTCAAATAAAAGATCAAGTACATGATTATAAAATAGGAGAAATGAGATTAAAATTTTGGATAGATGCATTAAATAATACATATAAAGGAAATCCTCCAAGAAGTCCTGTTATGTTGGCATTACATACAGTAAAATTTTATTTTTTTTATAATATATATCAATTATAATATATATATCAATTATAATTCTTTATTTATTAAAAAATATGATATTTTTAAGAAAAATTTTTACAGATTTTACAGAAATATTCTCTTTCTAAACATTATTTCAAACGTCTCATTGATGTAAGACTTGAAAAACTTAAAGATTATTCATTTAATGATATGAGTGCAATAGAAAAATATACAGAATATAGTAATTCTTCTATTTATTATCTTTTATTACAAGCACATGGTGTAAGTAATATTAATGCTGATCATGCTGCAAGTCATTTGGGCAAAGCTCATGGCATTGTGAATTTAATTCGATCAGTTCCATATAATGCTAGCAAAAGAGTGAATATGTTGCCACAAGATATATTAATGAAACATAATGTATCTACAGAAGCTGTATTACAAGGTCAATCAAGTAAAGATCTTCAAAATGTAATATACGATATAGCTTCTTATGGAAAACTACATTTAGATGCTGTAAGTATATATTAGAAATAAAACTATAATAAAAATAGTATAAAAACTATAATAAATTAAAAAATGAAAAAATAAAAAAGATACTATTTCATCTTTTTACTTTATATGTATTTTAATATAAACTTTTGTTCTTTTTAGACAATTTCTCTTAAACATAAAGTGGAGAAAGAAGCACATTTAATTTTTTTACCAATAATTTGTCTTCAAAAATTTTTAAATGAATTAAGGAGAGCAGATTTTAATATCTTTGATGCAAGATTACAGAAAAAGGATCATTTACTTCCTTTATACTTATATTGGAAAAGTTACACATATTAAACTTGATTTAAATATTTATTACATAAATTTAGTTTTAATTTAAATTATCTTTCAATTAAAATATTATAAAATATTATCAATAATAATCACATATATAACAATAAAATTAAATATTATTTTATAATCTCATTAATATATAAATTTTTTAAATTACTATTTTGTGGTCAGCTTTTGTGATATTTAGTTATTAATTACTTATTAAAATATAGATGTGATGATATAAAAATTTTCAATAAAAATTAAAATTTCTTTATACTTTATTAAAAGAAATTCAAAAAATTAAAATAATTTAAATAATTTATTTCAATAACTTATTATCATATATTTTAACATGTTTTATTTAATAATATTGTATGATTTGATTTTTATAGAAACTAAGCATTTTTTTAGAACTTTTAACTAAAATGTGATTTTACATTTTTTAAACATTACGAAAATAATTTGTATAATTATCACAATCCATTTCTGTAGAATTTAAAGATAAATCTCCAGTACTGCAAGGAATTGTAGGTATATTTGAACCTTGGACTGTGAATCCATGATAATCTTCTTGTTCTGATTCTGTAGAACATGGTAAATTTAAATGGGTAGATACTAATAAATCATTTGTAGATTTTTCTTGTTGCGTATCAAAATCACTTTGTGTATCCAAACTTATAAGACTAGTTTCATCTTCTGCTTTGCTTACATCAAAACTGTCATCACCAATGAAAGATGGAAAATCAAAAGTGGGAGATGGTGTGATACAATCTTCTATTAAAGAAGTTTTTATATCGTTTAATGGTGTAGAATTACTAATTGTAGTAGGACAAACCTGTAATTAGTTATTACATATAAAGTCTTATAGAGGATTTATCAATTTGAAAAAATTACATACTTGTGGAATAATTGGAGGTGGTAATTGATAACTTTCAATATCTTCGCAATCTAAATTAGTAGGCAATCTCTGACTATGTGTAATTAATAATGGAGTTCTGTCCAAAACTGTCTGTACTTCTGATTTCATTTCTTCTTGAAATTGTAACATTTTTTCTTTTAAATTTAATGTTTCGTTCATTATTTCTGTAGTTTTGGCTTTCATTTCATTAAGGAGTGTTATATCTTCACACATTAAGTGCAAACTCTATATATATATAATGAAATAAATTATATAAAAGATTTTGAATTATTCATTTAAGATTATTAAAGGAAGATATAATATATACTTCACATATCATTAAAGCAGATTCCCATGTATTAGCAGGTACACGTTCTCCAGACATATAAGCATTAAAATCTTTTTCATCCATATTTAATGATTCAGCTGTTAAATTTTCAATAAAAGATACTGCGCAACACTGTAATATTTATTATATTTTTTTAAATATTCTATTTTTTAAAATTAATTTAAATTTTGTATAAAATTTGTTTTTTTTTCATTATAAAATAATAATCTTCTAATTTTATAATATTTTTTATTAATTATTTTGATAATTAAATATTCCAATAAACATTACCAAATTTGTAAAATAATATCCTCCTTCCCCTGTCATTAATCTGCTTGCATTACAAAACCTAGTAATAAAATTGATGTTACTTTTAAGACGAGCAGGATTAGCTTTTAAAACAATAAAAATTAAAGCAGGAAGAAATTCATCTGCAGATGCAGGTCCACCAACAGACTGTTGTAACATTAAAAATATATTTCGACAACAATAAATAACACAAGAAAGTTTTTCTTGTGGAGCTTTTGCAGAATCCATATTTAATAAATCTACAACAAATTAAAACTATCTTTATATAATTAGTTAATAATTGTTAACTTAATGATATATAATTGAAAAAATTATATATTATTGAATTTTTTAAAAACAAACCTGTTATAGAAGTATAAACAAGTTCTCTAACTTCAGAACTGGTTTCATGTATTCGACATTCCAGATTTTTTCCACTAACCCAATTCAATTGTCGGATTCTGTAACATTGTATTTATATATAAATTTGAAATTTTATCTTTAATCTAAGATAAATAAAATAAATAAGATAAACCTTTTTTGTATTGCTAAATCTTTTTCTTCATCATTTGTAAAAGGTGGACAAAAAAGAATTCTGTAAAGTAAAGTCATTGTATATCTTTCTACATAATCCAATAATTTTTCTTTGATTTCCGGTGTTATATCTGAAATAATAAATTTAAAATATTTCCTTTATTTAAATTTAAGAAATTCGTGAAATTATTTTATATTTTCAAATTATTTTACTTTAAATTTATTTTTAAAATACCTGCATATTTAACACTATTTTCTAAACGTTTAGCAAATACTTGATAAAAATTTTGAGTAATCTCTGAAAGTTCTTCTATTCTTTTAATATCTTTATTCTGAAGTATTTCAACAATAAATGAATGCATACATTTCTTAACATCTCTTTCTACTGGTGTTTTAGCAATCATAGCTATTAAGTCACGATTATCTGTTTTTACTTTTTCAAGATCAGGATTATCTTTTGTTAATTCATAAAGTAATTCCTGATATCCTTGTACTTTAAAAAAAAACAAAATTTTTAGAATAATAAAGAGTATAAAGTAAGAAAATAGATATTTATAGAAAAATATAAATAACAATTTGAACTATATCTTTTAATATATGAAAAAAAATTATACAAAAATAAATATTATAAGATAAATCTACCTTTTGTAACTGGTTTACGAAAAGATATATTTAATAATTTATATTTTTTTTCTTGTACTTTTTTTTCTTCATATTTTTGATGAGCACTAATTGTATTTTTATTCGAAGAAGCACTGAAACATTTATAATATTATTTATCACTAATAACAATAATAATATTAATTACTAATCAAAATAATAATATAAATAATTAAAATTTATAAATATATCATCTTTATTTTCTATAAATAAAATATTTTTTATTATACATGAAAATTTTTCTAAATAATTAATTTTTAAAAATAAATATAATATCGTAAGATAAATATAAGGAATAAATATAAAAAAAAAATCCAAATGTATAATTTTTAATTATTTTTATGTACAAAGATCTTTCATAAAAAAAAATATAATTATTTTATTTTGAGTAAATAATTGAATAGAAAATATAAATTAAATCTATATTAAATTATTATAATTATTATTATAATATACAATTCTTTAGAAAAATCATTTTTCTGAGATATTTTATATTTACATTTAAAATACATTGAATTAGAAATTTTAAAAAATTTTAATTATAACTAATCTAATATAAATTATAATCAATAGACATACAAATCATATCCCTGTCCGTGAATATTACATTCTGTTTGTGATCTTTGTTTTTGTAAATATTCTCTATAACATTTGCTGCAATAACCTTCCCATTCGGCATTTCCATAAAATCCACAACCATTTTTACATTTAAGATCAGCTTCATCAATTCTTAAAGTGGGTGTTTTTGTTGAATACATTTTGACAAAGTTTTTGAGTTTATAAAGTTTTTTTTTTGTGTATAATATTGATCTTTAATCAATAAGATTAAGCAAAGAAGACAATAAGTCAATCACATATTGATGTCTTTTAAACGAATAAATTTTGTAGAGTAAATCAAAGAGAGAAAGTAATGAAAAAGGATAGAGATAGAGTAAAAATTATGAATCAGCGCCATCTCTGGAATGTCGCAGATGAAACAAAATATGAACAAAGATAACAAATAATAGAGATAGGATAAGAATTGCTCCATTTCTGAAAGACATTTTTTTAAACGTAGGATAAAGTAGAGAGCCAAAAACATTTTAAAAGTACAAAAGAGATGGCGTTGACAGTTTTAGTTTTTATCCTATCTTTTTCTTATCTTTATCTTTTTCTACTATTTGCTTTCCTTATTTATATTTTGTTTCATCTGCAACACTCTAGAGATGGTGCTAATTTCATAATTTTTATTTTATTTTTATTTTTTTCATTATTTCCATTCTTTGTTTATACTTGTTCTTAATAAAGCAAAATAAATAAATATATATTCAACAATTATATAATTTAGAATAAATATTATAAGAATGAACATTTAAAAATTATATTTAACATCGATCTCATCAGAATCGTTAGAAAATGATTTAATCTCTTTCTCATTCCTTATATAAAGAGTAAATATATATATTCGTGAGATATTTTTAGAAAATTGATTTTAAAGACTAAAAAAAACAAAAATTCGTATAATAAAAATATTAGTTGAGATTTAAATTATAAATTTAAGCTTGTTTTTAGGTGAAATAAAAACAATGTGTTACTTCATTTAACAGAAATTTAAATTGTCATTATCATTTAATAAATAAATCTGAACCAATATTTTTACATATCAATTTTTTTTTCAAAAGTTAATAATAATTAAAACAATCAAATTTGTATTTATTTTGACTTTTAAATCGATTTTTCAAAAATATCTCAAAATATATCAATACTTTATATAAAATATTTTATAAAAATTTATTTTATTTTTAATAAAATGTTTATTTTTTTCGAATTTTTTACATAGTGATAATTAATCATTGTTTATTATTTATGTATTATTCATGTAATTGAAAACTATATAATAATTATAATTTATAAGATTTAAAATCGAAACAAAATATGTTAATTTTCAGCATATATAAAAAATACAAGAAAATACTTTTATTATTTTTATTATATAAAATTATTTGTAATTTATATATATATATTTATATATATATTCCACTATTAAAGGTTACTTTAATGTTTGTTTGACATATTAATTAGAATTTTTTTAGTAAAATCATAGAAAATGCAATTGTAAATATAATTTCAAATTTTGCCGCGCTTCTTATTAAGGTTACTGAGAGAAATGTTTTCGCTATTTAAAAAAGGACGAAGGTTTTAATTTGTTTTCTCAAATAAAAGTAAAGAATTAAATGTTTTCTATATTTTGTTAAAAATTTAAAATATACATGACAAAATGATGCATTGTACAAGAATGTTAACTCTTAAAAAGGTATGTTTTTATCTAAAATAATAAAAGATTTTAATTAACCTAGTAGTTAAAAATTATTTTTGTTGTATTATTATTAACTTTAATCTTATCTTAAGATAAAGATTATGAATATAAAAGATTATAAAAAAATTTAAAGATTATAATGTTTTTATTGATTTCATTTTTTTTATTTATGATAATAATGTTATATATTTTTTTATATTTATGGTATAATAATTATTGTAAATTTTCTTATCATGATTTCATATTTATAATATCTAATTAAATTAATTTTTCTTTCTAATGCATGGTCTCTAAAATATTTATGATAAAAGATACCTTTGTCGTCTACATTGAAATGTATAACAGAATATAAATTTATCAATAATAGTGATATATATTTTTTAATAAAACCTCAATTTCGTCATTTTTATAAGAATGTACATATAAAAAATGTATCTAAGAATTTAATTAAACCAATAAGTCCAAGTGGAATATTTAAAAATTTATTACATAGGTTTGATCTTTTCAGGCAAAAATATGTAAGTATAATTATATGAATTTAATAATGTTAAATAATAAATATATATATATTAAACATTAATACAAATTTATTTATATTTTATTGTATTTTAGTATTTAAGTGGATTAGGCTATTTATTATATGATGACATTCCTAGAAATCTTAATTATTCAATATTTTTTAAAGGTATGTTTTTGATTTTAATATTTTATTATTTTAATTTTGATATCATTTAATTAGATTTAATAAATTGTTTGATGGTTAAATTATTTTTATTTATTAGGTTTTAATATGCCAGATACATTTTTCTCTTGGTTTTTAATCACAGAATTGCATGTTTGGATGTTAATGGTACGTTTTATGGCTGAAGGAGAAAAGGGTAAAGTAGTTGTAAAGAATATTGTCGAAGCCATGTGGCATGATGTTCTCGCAAGAGTAGAACTACTTGGTGTAAGTATCTAAATTATTTATTATTGAATTCCAATTTATATTTACAAGTATATTTATTTTATATAAAAGTTTTATATTTTAAATTTTATTTTTATTTTATTAACTTTAATTTTTCTTAATCAATTTATTGTGTAAAATATTTATTTTTTTTTATTAGCCAATTGCTCCAAAAGTAAAAAAGGAACAATTAATGGAATTAACATATCAGTTTAATGCTGCTGTAATTGGTTATGATGAAGGAATTATGTCAGATGATAAAATATTAGCTAGTGCATTATGGAGAAGATTTTTTTCTTTAGAATGTAATAATCCAGAACATCTAGAAAAACTTTTAATTTATGTCAGAAAACAGGTAATGAAAATATTTTTATTTTCTTATAATATATTGTATAATAATATAATTATTTTGCTTTTAGATTAGTGAATTTGATAAAATTCCACCTGAAAAAGTTTTCCAAAGATCAATAGTAAAATGGGTAGATTTGTAATCAAGTGAAATTTATTAATATTTCTGAATGAATTTGTAAATTTTAACTAGTTATAATTCACATGCAACAAATATATTAAATCTATATATTAAAATTTCATCTTTTATTTCAATTATATTTAATAATTAATAATTTTAACTTATTAAAATATTACATAATTTAGTTTCTAAACCTACAATTATATAACACAAATATTGTTTTTTACAATTTAAATCACAATTTTCTTGCAATGAAGGTTTTGCTTGCTTGTGAAAATTCCTATAATAACAAATAAAAATATATAAATAAATTATTATGAAAATAAATTATATAAAATATATATAATTTTAATTATATTTAATATTTTATTTTACTGTACTGTACTGTTTACTGTACCTGTAATATTTGTTTAATAATGTTTCATTCTTTGCTGCTATAGAGAGCCAATCACTTAAAGATTTGGCAGATAAATCAATAAGGCCATATTCTTTTTTAAAGGAATATGATTTATACCAGATTGGTCTAACATGGACATTTTTATTGGCAAAACTGAGATCATACATCCAATTTTGGTAATCAATTACTGCCTGCAAGAAGGAATTAATGTATTTTTACTCCAAATTAAGATAAGTCTATAATTATTTATATAATTATATTTATTTAGTTTAGATTATTTTTTATTATAAACAAATAAAAAAATAACTTACATAATTACTACAATTCACTATATATATTTTATAATTCGGATTCAATTTTGAGTAACTTGTTATGCTACCACCATTCCAACCAATATGTTTTGGTTTATTATCAGAATTGTAAAATATTGCTATTTCATCATTATGAGTATGTCCATTAAATTCAGCTTTAATTAAATGGGAGAATCTATCAATTATTCTTAAGTATTCTCGTTTCCATGTCTTAAAACAACTATTACTATTAAAAGGTATATGGGATAAAATATGTACAAATTCATTATTCTTTTCTGCTTCAGAAAGAATATTTAGAAGCCATTGTAGTTGATTATCAGGATCTTTTGGATTATACCAAAGCCACCTGAATAAATAATAAAATAATTAAAAAACAATTAAAAAAATATATATAATAAATATATATATATATATATAAGAAAAATGAATTACAATTAAAATAAGTTATAAAATAAAATTTTGAAATTAATAATTATTTTTTAAAAAACTTATTTTTAATAGTAATTATTAATACCAATTATTAATAGCAATTCTTATTATATTATTATTTTATGATTATAAAATCGTATTTATTTCACATACCAATTGTAAGAATAACAAATATTACTATTTAAGGCTATAATTCTAAATCCTTTTTTTGGAATAACAGTATAATATCCCCCTTGAAGTATTGTAGAACGTGTAGATTCTGGTAACCAACCATATTCAATCCATAAATCTCCCATTAATTTATAAAGCCAATTTGTAGTTAAATTGTCTTGTGTTATATTTTTTGGTGCAAATCTATATTTAATTAAAAAATTATTAATTTACAAATTTAAAAAAATATATATAAAATCAAATGTTTAAAAAAGAATATCCAAAAAATTTTTCAAAAATTAAAAATAAAAAACATATCTTTCAATTACAAAAATATAATTCATAAAAAAATTGTCTTCTAATAATAAAATCAATTTTTCAAAATTAAAATTTCAGTAAACTTACTGATTTAAAGGATGTGGTTCATGATTTCCAAGTACTGGATACATTATAGTATTGTTAAAAAGATTATGAATATAATCATACATTTTTATAAGATTTTGAATATTTCCTTCCTTTGAAGTCTTCCATACTCCATGGTCTATTATATCACCAGTAAAATATATAAAATCTATATCCTAGAAATTAAAATAAATTGTGATATAAATCTATATCTCATAATACTTGTAATTTATTAATTACATCTAAACTTATGAGTAATATACAATATACAATATACAATAATATTTACATTTTAATAATTAAAAAAAAATTACTAATTCTAAAAAAAAAATTAAATTTTTAAATAAAAAATTAATAATTTTAAATTTTATGCACCATTAATCATTGCCTGAATTTTATTAATTTTTTTTTATTGAATTATTTATAATTCTGGTACCTGATGTGTATCCTTCATGTGATGTAAAGCATCAGTAATTGCATGCCATGGAGTATCACAGGATCGATAATCTCCCCAAAATCCAGCAAATGAAGATATATTAGTTTTATTTTGATCTTTTCTGCAGCAAACTGGTTCTCCACAATTTGCATTACCATTTACTTCATAAAGAGGATCATAATGTAGATCCGTTATTTGTAAAATTTTTATTTGTTCTTGTGTTTCATTTTCAGTAATAATTATATTAGAATTGTTATTAATATCAATATTCCAATCAAATTTAGAATCATTTAAAGGACAAGATTTGGATTCCAAGACAACACCACAAATTGTACTAGCTGTTAAATTGGTTTGGAATCTATTATATACAAAATAATAGGCTAAAAAAATAAAAAAATTATGATAATCTATAAATAAAATTAAAATATTTTGATAAATATAATTAAACATAAAATTTAATTACCAAATTTGATTCAATGACTCCTTTACATACTCTTTCTGTTTGGATGTTTAAAAGCACACATAAATTAATTACATTCTTTCTTATATTTTCTTCAGACATTCCTTTATGTCGTAAATTTATAAATGTTGTTAAAATTGTTTTACATATTATACATATTTTAGTACTTGAACTGGCTGGAAAAGATCTCCAATCAGAATTTTGAAGTTCTGTGGGAATCCTTAAAAAGTTGATCATATTCTTGAACAATTCTCTTTCATGATTTAAATTTGCCCATAATTCAATTTCATTTGAAAATGAAAATACATCTACATCTGTTAATAAATAAATTTTTTATTTTATTATTTTAAAGATTATTTTAAATAATATATTATTTTTATTAAACAATTCAAAAGAAGATAATTATTTAAAAATTCTAGCAAAGAAAATTAAAATTTATAAATTACAATTTATGAATTAAACATAATTCTTTACAATAATATTTTATTAATTTAAAATATATTTAAAATATATAATTATAATATGTTTATTAGAATATTATTCAATTAGAAAATATTATTAGTTTTATTATTATTTAAATATGTAATTAATATACATATAACATATTTTTATTAAAAAATGAAAATACTTTTATTTTCTTACATTTATTTTTATTAATTATAATTTATTTTAAATTAATTATTTTATCTCACCTTCTATATTTAAAGCGGAACTATTAATAATTAAAATTAATAAACTCAAAATTAATTGTTGGAACCACATTTTGTTTTTCCACTTCAATTCAATTCAATATTACAGTTTAATTTAATGTTTCCAGTCGTTTTCCCTTTTTTTTTATCTTGTTTGAGTATTTTTTTACTGATAAATGGTGCAATATTTTCTTAAGATGATTATTCTATGATTATAAAAATAAACATTCAATTATATTAAGAAATATAATTAAAATTTAAGCAATCTTATATACTAAACATTGCATCTAAAGTTTTAATAAAATAATATATATATTTAATTTAAAAAAGTGATATTTATATATATATATTACATATCATCAAATTGTTAGAAATTTTAAAAAATTAAATTTTTCAAAATTGAGAAATCTATAAATGTAGAATAATTTCTTCCGATTAAAATGTTTTCGAATAAATCAATATTGAAAATTAATAAAGCTATTGATATTTGTAACATTATATAATATAGATATATAATAAAATTAAACTATTTTTTATTTAATATATATAATTTTTTATTAACGAAAAGATTAAAAGTTAGATTAAAATTGTTTATTTTTTTCAAATAATTACGATCGCGTTAATAATTTGACATATTTTAAAAATTTACAATATTGTTTTCTTATAAAATTATTTGATTTTTCTGATTTTTTTTTTTACGTGTTATTTTACATTTTTCACGAGCATATATCACAAAATGTCAAATTTTTTGAAAGTTAACATTTTTGATTGTTTAAAATTGATTTATTGACAAGTTGAAAAATTAATATAAAAAATTATTATTTTATATATTAAATTTCTTAGATAAATTTACATTTAATTAATTTTAAAATACCAACCAAACATTAATAATAAAACATTTTTTATCAACTATATTATTTATCAATATATCGATAATATTAAGAATTTTATTTTCATAGAAAAATATCGATACATTATAATATGTCGAAAATAAATTATTTCGCGCGCTAAAACGAAATTTGTTTAAAAAAAATAGAAAGCAAATTTTTATAATGAATAGATAATAATACCATATGGAATATCATATTTGGAATATCAAAGGATTATTTTCAAAAAATTTAAAATTTAGATAAGAAAAATAAAAAAACATTAGCTCTTTAAGATTAGGAGATTGTAAAATAAATTCAATTATCAATATCAAAGAAATTAAAGAAATTTGAAAATAAAATATATAAATATAATAAAATATTTATTTATGGATCTAAATTTAGTAGAATACTTGTCAATAAATTAATAAACTTTAAAAACAAAATTTGTTAATGCTTTAAAAAAGAAGAGCGAAACAACCAGAAATTTTCTTATTAAAAGTTACAAAATTTAGAGATTAATTTTGACATTAAACGTTTTAAAGAATATTACATTATATGCAATTTTATTTATAAAAAATATAACATAATTTTCGATTCTTCATGTTTTTTTTCAATTTAATTATATTGAAAAATGGTTCGTTTCATTATTTTTTATAATAATAAAAAATTATTTTAATATTATTATTATTAAATATTAGATACATATATTTTTATTATTTAATTTTTTTTCTTATTTTTATTATTTTTTAAAATGTATAAACATTATAGATAATTGAAAAAAACAAACTATATGATATATATATGATTATTGTGCAATACTTGTTTGAATTTTGAAATTTATCATTTATCGATTGATATCATTCAAGTATATTTGAAAGATTTTTATTTTTATTATTTTTATTGATAAAATCTATTCAATTGCGACAAAAAAAAATGTGATTTATTTATATTATTATTTTTCAAGTTATTTATATCTTTACTTCAGTCATTTCTTATTTCATAATTGATTTTATCCAATTTCTCTTAATTTATCGATTGATATCATTCAAGTATATTTAAAAGATTTTTATTTTGATAAAATCTGATATCCAATTGCGACAAAAAAATATAATTTATTTATATTATTATTTTTCAAATTATTTATATCTGTACTTTAGTCATTCTTTATTTCATAATTGATTTTATCCAATTTCTCAAAATGTCAATTTTCAATAATATAAGTCTAATTTCTCCTTCTATTGTTTAAATTGATTAATGATTTTGATCTTTTTAAATAAAACAAAGTTTGTAAAAGCTTAAAATATTAATCATAATCAATCTACTTAATATTTATTTAAAATAATCTTACAAAAAGTCCACTAATTAAATCATTAAAAAAATTCTTTATTTTCACTCATTTCATTGATATAAAATGTTAACATTTTATTAATTGATTATTCAATTTGTCTCTTGTCTAATATTTCAATGCTAATATTTTATTTTCGCAAAAATATCTATACTGTTTTTTATAAATTACGTTCGCTAATAATATAAATGTGCATATATATAAGTTTATGAATAATTGAATGCGAATCCATTTGAAAATGAAAATTGTATTAAAAAATTACTCTAATAATCGAATAATCGCTCTCAACATTCGTATTCTTAATTAGACAGCGAGCGAATAATTCATTCAAGAGACAATAGAAAATTATTCAATATATTCGATATTATTAAATTAATAATTATTTCATTTAATTTCAATGTTTTACGAAAAAGAATTTGAATTTAATTATAAGATTAATAATTTAAGCATCAATTCATGTCTTTTTGATATTAATATCATATAAAAAATAAAATATAACAAAAATATCTTCTAAACAATGTTGTATTTCATTAATGGTAAATGTACCATTTGAAATAATATATATATAATATTATAATATATAATTTTTATATAATTTTTGTTTTGTTTTAAAATATTATTATATAAATATTAAAATATTAGATAAAAGTGATAGATATAATTTTATATATTGTACTTTTATTAAAATTATTATCACAAAATATGAGGTACTTCAACATCATCAATAGCTAGGTCGTCAAGCATTTCTTCAAGAGTGATTTGTGGACAACTAGGATCAGATAGCTCATTTGTATCTATTGGAATTGTCTTCATACGATTTCTAAAAATATTTATGTTTTGTCTCATTTCTGGATTTTCTTCAATATCTTCCAGAAATTCATAATAATCACTAAAACAGATTATAATATAATTTTGAGTTTTAAAATGTAATTTAATTTAATTACAAAATAAAAGAAGAAAATTTATATTTTATTTTTACTTCTAAATTTAAAAATTTTTATTTTTGAATAAAAAATTAATTTACTTATTATCTGTAGTCATATTGTCCTTATCTGGTAACATATGTTTCAATTTCCAAGTTCTTATTCGGCGTCGCGTTGCCCTATCATTTGTATAATTCTTCTTTGTTAAAATTATATCTGGGATTAAATCTTTATTTAATATTTCAAAATTTTTATCATTAATATTACTGTCATTAAGAGCATATCTAAAAATAAAAGTCATTTTTTAATTTTTAAAATATCAATTATCTGATAAAATAATAATTTACCCTAAAGCAGTATCTCCAGGTTTTAATATATGACCAAGATGAGTGCGTGTATGAATTAAATTATCATTTATTCCTAAATCACAACTTCTAACTAACCATACATCTGCTATTATATGCTAAAAATAAAAAAATTAATTAAAAAATAATTAATTATTTCAAAGAGATTATTACAAATTTTTTCTTTTAATAACATTCATGATGTATCAACCTTTAAATTATTTAATATATACCTTATCTGAAATAGTTCCTTGTCCAGGAAAAAATTTTCTATCTTTAAATTTTATTTGTTCAATATCCATTACTGTATATTCTATTAATTGCTTTGGATCACAAATACTATTAAAAGCATGTCTCCAATAAAGTGAAGCATTTAATTCTGCAACTAAACAAATGAATAATATTTCATAAATTAAAAATTTGAAAATTTTTAAAAATTAAATAAGAGTAAGAGTATCAAATTTTAGGAAATTATACCTACCTTGCCCTGATGATACATCTATTAAATGTATGAAATTTGTAATTTTATATACTAAGCAAATCGAATTTATTCCTCCAAGTTGATGACTTAGTTTTCTTGGAAGACATACTACACTATCTCTTGATATTGGAACTATCTCTACACTATTCAAAAAATTATTAAATTCAATTTATTAATTTATATGAAGATAATAAATAAAAAAAATAGTAAGATAAATTATGAATTAAAAGAAACCATTATATTTTATTTTATTTTTATATTCATGAAAAGAAGAATTTCAAAAAAAGAGAAAATATTTTTTTTAAATACTTATTAAACTTTATTTTCATAAAAATGATGATTTTATCTAACATATTTATATAAAATTAATATTTTTTTAGCAATTATTTAATCATAATTATTTTTACCTGTATGTAAATTTATAATTGTAAATGTTACTATGAATATCATGTGATATTAATTTTTTAGAATGGTCATAACGACAAGGTATAACACTTGAAAGAAAATCGACCATTTTGCGTGCTGTTGCTTCATTTGCAAAAAAAAAATCTAAACCCTCTATAAAAATTATTTAATATATAAAAAATTATGATTTTTATACTTTATTTTAATGTTTTTCAGTAATTTAGATTATTACCATGAATAGCTTTTATACCCAAAGTATGTTCGTGTGCTTTGTGTTTTAATATTAGTTGCTCTAAATAATAAAATGTCTTTTTATTTGTTGCTCTCTGCCGTACTTGTACCTATTAAAAATAAATTATAAATATATTGTTATATTTATAATATAACAAATTATTTTCATTTTATATCATCATTCTAAAGAAATTTAATATAAAATCTTACTAAAGCACGCCAATAATCTTTTGCTTCTGTTCGATGACAATCATTACACATTTGATGATTTATTGTGTATTCAACTATAAATACTTGTTGAAGAACTGCTCCTCCTATTACTTCAGCTTGTACTGTTAATTTTACCTAAAAATAAAGTGTAATAATAAGTGTAATAATTTTTACAAAATAAATTATTAATAAATATATACAAAAAGTACCTTTAATCTCATAGAATGAGGTTCTGTCCATACAAATCCAGCATCGATTAATTTTACACGATTTAAACCTTTTAATTTTTTCAAACATAATGTTAGTAATTCTCTAGATTCTAATGCTGCATGAATCCATTCTCCAGGTGGTTGTAAATATCTAAAAAATAAAAATTCCTTAAGTTCTACTTAATATTTATTTCTAATTAAAAAAAGAAATATAAATTATATGTACATATTATGATAGAATAATATATTGAATATTTTACTATTTTATAATTTAAAATATATAATTTAAAAAAGATAATTAAAAAATTTAATAAAAAAGTGATTGCATAAAAAAAAATAAAAAATTTAATAAAATATCAAATTCTTTGACAATAATATTAATTATTATAAATAACATTTTATATTAACATAAATTTATTATGTATATCATTAATATCTTTCAAATGTTGTAAATATTTATTATTACTAATAAATTATGTAATACTAACAATAATCACAATAAAATTAATATTTAATTTATTCAATATTTAAATATTTAATATATATATTTATATAGAAGGATTAAAAAGTAAAATAATAGAAATATTATATATAAATTATATTACCTTTCACAACCTTTGCAAAAATGAATTGTTGCTTGTTTTGGAATATTTTCAGTAACATCTACTTGAGTTCTTAAACATGCCACGCACATATTTGCTGGATTAGGTTCAATACTAATGCCACAAATACAACATAATCTAGAAATAAATATAATAAATTTTATATTAAAAAAAAAAATTATCGAATTTATTTATATAAATTTTATAATTGTTGAGGTTATATTTACTTACATCACTGATTCTTGTCGAATTGGTTCATTTAATTCCATTATTGACACTTATTTTTTTATATTTTGTAAATAATTTCGTTATATTGTACAATTAAATATATTAAATTAAAAATATGTAATAAAAGTGATCACATATATATTAACTGTAACCACGTGTGAATTAGTACTAACTTCAAGTTTAAGATACTATTGAATATTTAGTTAAATTATTTGTTAAGTTATCTTTCAACTTTAAATTTTTATTTTATTTACGTTGAAACATGATCAATTTTAATTTTAAATTATTTTTTTAATAACATTAAACATAAATCATAGTATATTTAATATTAATTAAATTGATATTGCTGCTTAAATTGAAATAAAATTGAAAAATTAAATAATTAATAATTTTAATTTTATATATTTTTATCAATTTTTATTTTAATTTTGATAATATAATGTAAATCTTTAAAATATATGAATAATTCATAAATGAATCATTTTAAAAGTGTCTTATCTAGTATTGACAAAGTTTATGACGTATTTAAAAGAAGCTACTTTTGTCACTACCATTGTAGTATGTACTGTATACGATCAAAAGTTAAAGAAAGAATAGAGAGTAGAGAGTAGATAATATGTTCATCTTATTATTTATTCTTCGTTGTTGATATATTTTTATTATCTACAAATTTATTATGAAAATGAGTGAACAATTTTTCAAATAAACAATTTATAAATTTAATACAATATATTGAAATTAATTAATGTAAAATAATTGATAAATATTAATATTGCAACTATATATTATTATAACGTATGTATTTTATATATGATATAAATGTTAAATTACTATTAAAAGTATCAAAGTTAATATTTATAAAGTAAATATATATACATATACATATTTTAATTATTTTTATTTTTTAAATTTTAGATTTGTTAATTATAATATAGCAAAATGGCACCAGTGCCTTTAGAGGGTCATCAAACACCTGTAACTAATAATATTCCACAGGAAGGAAATCGTGGTGGTTCTATTTCTCTTGGCATGCTTATTGATTTCATTATACAACGTACTTATCATGAACTTACAGTTTTAGCTGAATTGTAAGAAAATTTATATATATTTTTATATTAAATTATATTTCATATAAATATAGCAAATCAGATATATATTTAAATAATATTAGATTAAATAAAAAATAAATTAAATAATAATAATATTATGTTATATAAAACAGAAATTTATAAAATAGAAAAATTAAAAAATGATAGAACTAATATATATAATATATAAAATATATTTACAGATTACCTCGAAAAACTGACATGGAACGCAAAATAGAAATTTACAACTTTTCAGCTAGAACTAGACAATTATATGTACGTTTATTAGCATTGGTTAAGTGGGCTAATAGTGCTTCCAAAGTTGATAAATCTGCGGTATATTAAATATTAATTTTTTTACTTTATATTTCAATATAATTATATATAATAATTTATATTTTAATATAATTGATATATTAATAACAAGAAAATAAGAAGAAATTTTTTTGACAGCATATAATGGCATTCTTAGACAAGCAATCACTTCTTTTCGTTGATACAGCTGATATGCTTGCAAGAATGGCCCGTGAGACATTAGTACATGCAAGATTACCTAATTTTCATATTCCTGCTGCAGTGGAAGTTCTTACAACTGGAACATATAGTCGCTTACCAGCATGCATAAGAGTAATTTATAATTTTAATTTTTTTATCAATAATTATATAAGTATATTAATATATTTATATAATTTTTAATTAAAATAAAATATTATATAAGTATATTTATATTTAAGTTATATTAAGTTTATATATAATTTATGTATGCACATATATATATATATATATATATATATGTATATATGTATATATATTTTCATAGGAAAGAATTGTTCCTCCAGATCCAATTACACCAGCAGAAAAAAGAAGTACACTTCAGAGATTGAATCAAGTTATTCAACATAGATTAGTTACTGGAAATCTGCTTCCACAAATGCGTAATTTAAAAATTGAAGCAGGAAGAGTAACATTTCTTGTAGAGCAAGAATTTTCAGTGTCACTTACAGTAATGGGAGATGGTCCAACAGTACCTTGGAGATTATTAGAATTGGAGATCTTAGTTTCAGATAGAGAAACAGGAGATGGAAAAGCTTTGGTGCATCCATTGCAAACTCGTTATGTGCATCAAGTATTATTTTTTTAATAAACTATCATAATTAATTCTTTCTATTTAATATTAAAATAAATGATTTTAATTGCAAGGTGGTGCAATCGAGATTAGCAGAAAGTTCAAATCCATTATCAGAAGTTTATCATATTTTGCATTATTTTTGTCAATCATTACAATTAGAAGTACTCTATTCTCAAACATTACGGTTAATACGAGATAGATTGGATGATCACATTCATGTGGATGAATATACACCAGGAAAATGTCTTTCAGTGTCATATTGGAGAGAATTGACTAATAAAGATCCTCGATCAGAATTGGGCTATAAATTAACAGTACAGGTGGACCAACATGACCCTGCAAGACCTCTTGCAATAGTACATATTCCATCTTTAGGTAGTAAAGAAAGTGAAATAGCAGACAGAGCAATTAGATCAGACCAATTATCAATGGAATGTTTATTAGTACATACAATATATGTGCGTACTAGAAGTAGATTATTAGATTTAAAGCAAGAATTGCAAACGATGTTGAAAGATGTTGAATGTACTCTAGCCGGTTCACCTGCAATTCTCTCTGTTCCAATTTTGCAACCTTGCTTAAGAGCAGAACACTTATTAGTTACTGTTGATACACATACTGGAATGTTACAATGTCATGTACCTCAATATGAAGTTCCGTTGATTCCTGAACTAACTGCTGCTTTAAATGGCGATCATTCTCGCCTTCCGACTTTAATATCAGAACTTAGGTAATATTTCTTCAATTTTTACTTTATTTCATATTTTCTTCTATTTTGTTTTATTTTTATTTTTGATATTTCAGATTTTGGATAACACAAAGACGGTGTGAAAAAACATTACAACATCTTCCAGCAACTTCTCATGAACGTTTACCAGTTCTTCTTCATCCTGATCATCCAATGTCAAAAATTAGTAGACATCGGATGTTTATCCAACTCCATCGACATCCTACAGTTATTTTAATAGTGGCGTTTAAAGAGAAAGAAACTTCACCATGTGAAATTGAATGTTCATTTTATCTTGCTGTAGTAAAACATAGCTCTATAGAGGATGATCCCCATGATGATAGTATTGAAACAGAAATTCCAAAAATGTATTTAAAAGTTCAAAGTTTAATTGAATTTGATACTTTTGTCATAACTCATGGACCTTTTACCAGTGTTGACAATGGTCAGTTTTAAATTCAATATAAAATTTTAAAATAATGTTATTATATTTTTATTTAATAGAATTTATAGAAAAATTAATGAAATTGTATGTAATGTATTACAGAAACTCTTGAAACAAACAGTTTGAAACGAAGAAGTACAGGACCTAGTGGAAGATCTGATAGTAGTACTACATTGCAAAATAGAAGGTCCAAACAACCTGCATATTTTATTCCTGAATTAGCACACGTGGTTGCACTTTGCGATGAAAGAATACCTTTTGTAACATTAGCACAAGAATTGACTAGAAGAGATATAGCTCATCAAGGGCTTCAAGTAGAGGCAAATGCTACTGCATTAGTTTTAAAATTAGTTCAATTACCTGCTCCTTCTACAGGAATAAATACTAGTTGTGCTTGGTATGCTCTTCTTAAAAGACTACTCAGTGTTTCAATTAGAGTTCAAGGTAAAGGTATGGCTAAAACATGGATGGCTGAATTTGTATTTTATGGTAGCCCCTTATCTAGTAGTCATCCAAAAGAACAAGGTAATATTCAATAATTTAAATAATATTAAATAATATTATATATATATAATATTCAAATAATCTAAATAATTTCTTTAATTAGGATTGAGAAGACCAGTATATTTCCAATATGAAATGGGAACAGCAGATACTATTTCGCGTACAGTAGATGCAATACTTAATGATTGGGCTCAAATTGTACATCTTTATTTTATTGTACATGATTTAGCAGAATATTTTAAAATGGGTAATTTAAAATTTATTGAAAAATAATATTGATTCAAAAATTATATATATAATTAAAATCGTTAATTTAAATGTTTCATTACAGAAAAATATAATCTGCGCAATATGGTTAATATAAAATTATATAACTATAGTAAGTTAGTTTTAACTTATGGTCCTAATCGTGGAGCTACTGTTACTGTGCAATGGAGTACCAATGACAAAGCATTTAAATTGATTTTTGGAAAAAGTAAATATTATTTAACTTATATTGATTAATTTATATAGGATGTTCATTTTAATAATCTATATAATTTTTTATTATTTTATTTTATTATTCATATTATTTTATTCACTAATACATTCATATATTCAATAATTTCTTAAATAAATTATAATCAATAATTTTTTTATAATATTTTTTATAATATATAAGTATAATATATAAGTATGTATAATATATAATTTTTAATTCAATAATTTAATAATTTAATAAATTTTATTCATATGTAGGTCCAACTAGTACTATTACTAATGCTCATTCAATTATGAAGGAACAATTGGAAGCTCATTTAAATAGACACAGAAATTTAGCTCAACTTATACATATTCTTCATGAAACACTTCAACCTCTTACATCAATTAGTAAATTGCCTATAATTCCACAACTTTGTGTTTATAATTCGGTATGATATTAATATTATTTATTCTTATTAAAACTTATTTTATTTCATTTTTATTCATTGAATCTTATATATTTTGATATTATTGTTTATAAGTTTTATTTTTATTTTTATTATCTTTATAGAGACCTCAAGTGCCAGTACAAACTTTCACTATTATGCCACAATGTGTAACTCTAGTCAGAATTGCATATCAGGGTATGTATTGTTTAGAACTTCGTCTACGAGGAAGTGGTTTAGTAAGCTTACGGGATGGAGCTTATAGCCGTTTTGATAGAAGTTACGTTGTAGATGAATTTACTCCTACACAAGGTCTTAAGGTATTAAGAGAATTTAATTTATTTTAGAATACTAAATTATATATGTTTTTTTTTTTAAATTTATTTTAATAATATAGAATATGATATGATATGATATTTTAATAATTTTATTTTTGGTAATTATACAGGCTTTTTTATCTAAATATGTGGATGAAAGTGCAGTTTCTCGTAGAAGATCTCAGTCAGAGGATGATAATCCTCCTTCTCCTGTGACAATGGATAGCGATGGAGGTAGTGGAAGTGGAAATGTAGGTTTTTTAAGTCATCATAGAAGTGGACCTCAGTCACCTGCACAACAGAGAGATGGATTAAGGTTTCATCCACCTCTGACTCCACCTTCTGGTAGTAATCCTCATACTCCAGCTAGTCCACATACTGCTAATATATCACAGGTAGCGTTTATAATAATTATATAAAATTCGAAACAAAATTTTTTTTTTAATTTTCTTTAGAATTTTTTTTAATTTTCTTTAGACAAATCAACATCAAAGTTTTGGAAGTAGTCCAGCTACTTCTTTCAATTTGGCTTCACCACCATCATTACCACCAAATACACCAAATATGTTACCACATCCTTCACCAGGCTCTGGTTTAGTTGCTAATAGTCCTTTAAATCCAATGCATGTTCCTAGTCCAGCTGGATTAATGCCAACATCTTCACCAGGACCATGTAGTAATGTTCAAGTGGGACATTCTCCTGCAGGATTTATGCAAACTGGTAAGAAATTATTTTTTATTATATGAGATGTTTTACAATTATAATAGTTTTGAATATAATTATATTTAATTTATATAAAATTTTTTTATATTATATTATTCAGATATTGATAATAAATCGAAATTGTAATTGATCTACATACATATATAAAATGTACCAAATATACCAAATAATAATAATACCAAAAATAAAATTATGCATATTTATATTAATAAATGTAAAAATATCAATATTTCTTTATTTTCTTTTCTAGATTTTTTTCGTTAAATTCTATTATTTTGTTAATTGCTAAATGTATTGAAATTTTTTTATTATAATGATTATTTATTTAGGGCACATAGATGGAAGTCCATTTCCATCTTCACAAAGTATGGCTTCTCCAGCAGCCTCTAATTGGCCAGGATCACCTAGTGTGCCTAGACCATCTCCAGCACGTCCTACACAAAGTCCGGGACATGCATTGCATAGTCCTCAAGCCTCTGATCATAAAACAGGGACTCATATTTCAAGAGTACTTCCACAACGTTCTTGGGCAGGTGCTGTACCTACACTTTTAACTCACGAAGCTTTAGAATTGCTCTGTTGTCCTTCTCCACACCCTTCTGGATTTCCTGGGCCTGATCTTTCACCACTTGAAAGATTTTTAGGATGCATTTATATGCGCAGACAATTCCAACGATTCATACAAACTGATGAATGTGTACGAATTTTATTTTTTACTTAGTTATATTTTATTTTAAAAATACAATATAAAAGTTATATTTTAAATCATTTTATAGTTAACAGCAGTAAATAGTACAGAACCAGGAGTTGTACACTTTAAGGTAGAAAGTTTACAATGTCGAGTTGGCTTAAATCCACAACATTTACAATCTCTTCATATAAAAGTACAACCTCTTCCAGATCATAAAGATCAATGGACGCTTGAAGAATTACAAGTAATAATATTTCATAATTAAAATATTATTTCCTTATTTAAAAGATTATTTCATTTTTTTAAATAATTTTATATATTCTTTCTTTTCACAGATCATAGAAAAATTTTTTGATACAAGAGCAGCAATACCACCATATAAACCAAACACACTCTCTGGTTTTGGTAGAATGTTAAATGTTCCATTTAATGTATTGAAAGATTTTGTACAAATTATGAAATTAGAATTAGTACCTGGATTAGCACAACAACAACAACTTAAATGGAATGTACAATGGTGTTTAAGGATTCCTCCTTCTGGAACTCCAATTGTACCTACTGGCATGGCTGCTATACTAGTTTGCAGAAATAAAATTCTTTTTTTTGTATGTATACATAGTAAAATTTTTCAAAATTTTATTTTGAGATAATATTTATATATTTAAATTTATTATACTATTATTATTTATTATATTATATTAAAAGTATATTAATTTATTATCTATTTTATTTTTATTATAGTTGCAAATAACAAGAATTGGATTACCATATCAAGGAGAAACACCATCACTTGTTTTACCCCTAGTTTATGATGTTAGTACAAATCTAACACAATTAGCAGAAAAAAGAGATCCAAGTCCAGCTTCTGCAATGGCAGCAGCATCCTTACAATTAAAAAGATTTGCTGAATATGGTGCAAATCAATCTGAGTGTTCTCTCTTTCCTGCAGTTAGAGATTTACTTGCTAATTTGACTCTTCCTTCAGATCCTCCAGTTATGTCTCAGGTAAGTACTATATTTTGAAATTTACAATACATTTCGAAGAATTTTATTATTATATTTATTTTACAAATATTTATAAAATATTTGAATGATTAATAAAAATATATTTATATGTTTATAATATAATATAATATATATTAATTAACATTCATTAAGTTTATTAATATTTTCAAAATCATTGAATGGTAGTTTTATAATATTCATCTGGTTAAATAAATCGATATTAATGATAATTTTTTTAATAATTGTTAATTGCGTATGAAACAATGAAATATTAATGAAAATTACTATTTACAGGTTCCACCAGCTGGTGGAACACCAACACAACAGATTCAAAGTCCTGCAATGCAATTACATTCTCCTATGGCTGGAAATCAAGGTCCTCCACAGGCACCATATGGAATTCAAGGTATGCCTCCAATGGGCATAATGGGTGGACCACCTCAATAGGACATGCTTTACTCTCCTAACCCACTCAATTTACCGAATCAGTCGACTTGGATCAACTGAAACGTATTATAATATCTATTTTAAGAATATATGGTGGGGAATTGTAGGAGAGTTATTTCATCAAGAAAACTTGTTTTTTAAAAACTCATACTGTAATATTATTTGTAAAAAGAAACTATAATCAAAAAATATTGTTCATACGAGTTTACATAATTCATATATTATAGATATTGATTCTTAGATTAGTTCTTAGATTTAAGGATAGATGGATCAAATTTCATTTTAAAATAATTTATTAAATTATTGCAATATTTACTTTCAATAAATTCCATCTATTCTTTAATAATCTCGTATTTTAACATATCTATGTATTGTTATACTCAGGATTTCAATTGCAAAGAAGTTATATTTTCAATTTTTTATCTATAGTACAAATCTCATGATATTGAAGTATGAAAATATTAATTATTTATAATGTTTTGCATTTTGTAAAGAATTCAATTATTAAGTTTTTTTCAATCAATCAATTGACATATTTTTTAATTTAGTAAAGTGTAAAAAAAATAATTATGATTACTAAAATATTCTTTTTATTACAAAACAGTGACTGTGATATTAGTACAGATATAAAGTGAATTTTATGAATAATTATAGAATAATAATTTAAAATTATTCATATAATAAATATAATTCTTACATATAATTTAAATTCAAATTATCCTTTATAAAGTACACATTATTTTGTGTATGCAAACATCCCTTTAATAATAATATAATAAGAGCATTTCAAGTACTATTAAAAATATAAAAAAAAATTTTATATTGTGACTATATGATTAGACATTTTTAATAATAACAATATTTCTTTTCTTATTCTTTTTAAAAATGTTAATATATTTATTACTGTATACTATATTTATTTTTAATTATGTTAAAACAAAATTTACTAATCTATTGATTTTGGTTTTATAATAATGTGATTTTTATAACAATATTTAAAATGCAAACATTTACAATTTCATTATTTTTAAAAACAAAATTAAAATAATTATTCTTTATGTACAAGTTTAAAAAATATTCACAACATATTCACAAATTATTAAATTTTTAAGAATAATTTTATTAATTATTTTATTAAAGGTATTTTATTAGAATTATTTTAAATAACATTGAAAAAATATATATTCTTATAATTATAAAAAAAATCATTTATTTAAGATTTCAAATATTAATATAGTGTATATATATATATATATATATATTAATGTAGGATAAATATATTATTTTAATTTTGAATTTATTTATAAATTAAGTTATCTATTTTCTAAAATAAATATAATTTCTATAATATCATCATGGAATTTTATAAGAACAATTCTAAAATAATTTCTTTTATTAGATTATTCTATTATTTGTTTAATAATGATATGATATGAAATATTTTCATTAATAAAATATTTTTTATTTCATAATTTATACATAATTTTTTTTTTATAATTAGAAGGAATTAGAAAAAAATTGTCAAGTTTACAAAGAATACAAAATCTTTATCACGATTCTTGTACATTATAAAACAATGTAAAATGTACATTATAAAACATTACAAATTTTTATTATACATTTTAATTATCTTATTAAGAGGAAGATTATGTCAACTATACATATTAATGTATATATAATATAGTAAATGTAACTTAATAAAATAATGTAGTATTTTGTATTAATTAGTTTAAAATATATGTATATACAAAGTAGTTCAACGCAAGCATGTGTAATTTTTTATATAAAATGTTATTCTTAAATTTTTTATTTGGTTTTGTACTAGTTTGTTTTTAAAATTAAACAGTTTTTTATAAGACAGATTAATTTTTTCATTAAATTAATAATTATTGAATAGTTTTTTTTGAAAAAATGAAATAATTATGTCTAAAAATTTTATACTTTAAGTATTAATCCAATCAGAATAATTCATAAATTTAAACCATTATAAAATATAAGAATTATTTAATTATTATTATTTAATTATTTAACATATTCAATGTTATGAATTTTTTAATAGTAATAAAACATAATTAAATAAATGATGAATGTATCCTGGGTTAGTTTCAAGTAAGTTTAAACCAATGATTTGCTTCTGTGAAGAAAGGAGCCAAGAAGATATGAAGAGCTCACTGTTAGTGTATGAAGTCAACAGCAGCACCAAGAAGTTAAAACTGCAAACGAAAATGTTTTTTGCGCGATATGAACTGACAAATGATTGCGTGAACTGCTCCAGTTCGTTACATTATAATTACAATAGACTATCCGCAAAAATTATTTTACAATACTAAATATATAAAAATTTTAATAAGTTACAATATAAATGTATAAAATCTATTTTATAAATACATATATTTTTTCTCAATTAGTAATATTACTAATATACAAGATTGGAAATCAAAGATATATTTCCAATATACAAATATTATTAAAAATAAGCAAATTTAATTACAAATTTTAATCAAATATTATTATCCAAATGTTAATAATAATTTGAACTTTTATTTTAACATTTATTATTTCGAATTTATTCAATATTTATAGTAATACTGATATTTTTAATTATATAAAAAATTATCTTCTATTTTTTTCTTAATTTGAAAAAATTTTTAATATCATTGAAATATAATTAAAATAAAATAAATATTAGATTTATTTTAATTCAAAAGCAGTCAAAAGTGAAACGCTTAATCTTCTGTTTAGATGAAAACATAAATACATTTTCATTGTTGTTAGTTCACCAAGCCTGTTTCGACGATACGTCGATGCAAGCTAAAAGAATGTTTTTAATTTAATTTTTGAAGAAAATTTTTATAACTTTTTAAAAATCTTATCTATTCAAAAAGATAATATTTTTAAATTATCATCTCGTAATCTTATAAATATATAAATATAATTAGATATTTCAACATAAAATATTTTTTTATTAATTAAGAAGCATCAGTGAGAAGTGCAAGCCTACCATGTTGCGGTCGCCAATAGCAGCATGCCAAATGCAAAGCTAAAATAATAACCAGGATTTCGGCAAATGCCAATCCAGCCGCAACGCCGATTACTATAGCTGCATTTTCTTCAATTGTCCTCATTATTGCATTATAACAACCCTATAATATTTACACAATATTTATATATTTTTAATAGTTTTTATGTATTAAATTAATTATAATTTTATTATAATTGAATCTCTTTTTAATATTTTCTAACCTCCTTATAATAAGAATTATTAGAAGTAGGACTAATAGGACAAGATGGATCCTTTAAAACAGTGTTCTCTTTTATACAACATGCTTCAGGTACAATTTTATCTGATGTCCAATTTGTGTTCTCTCGAAAATCCAAATAATTTTCCACTCCACAACAATGTAACTAAACATATAAAATATATCTTTTTAAATATATAATATATAAAAATTAATAATATTTATAATTATTAAAATATTTATTTATTTATACTTATGAATTGTAGCATTTGTTTATCTTTAAATTTTTTTGATTAATGAATAAATTTTTAATAACCTGTGTCATTATACCATCCCATGTTACTGTAATTGTTTCTGTTTTATCAATGTTATTGGCATAATATTTGATTGTAGATTTGAGAAAATTTCGTGTACTTTGTTCTGCCTAAAAATCATAACAAGTAGAATGAATAAATTTATATTTTAGATTAAATTTTGTTATTTTAAATTACAATAAAAAAACTCACATCTCCTTTAAGGCCAAAAGCCAAACCTACTACTATACATTCCAGGATCAAAACCACAAGAATAAGAACACCATACTATAATTAAAGACTTAATTGTATCATGTGCTATTAAAGTTTAATTTTTTAAGCCATAAAAACTTACAATACAAAGAAGACACCGAGATTCAAACATTGCTCCACAATATCCAAGAAAACTGACCAAAAATGTCAATGCTCCTGCCAAAATCAAGATATATGATATTATCCTGATGACATCTGCATCCGTTTTATTCTATAACAGAATAATCTAATATAAATTTATGATTAATTATTTGATAATATCAAATTATTTCTTTATTATAAAAATTTTAATAAAATTTCTGATTTGTTTAAGTTTAATACGAAATTTAAAATCTTGTATAATATTACATGTACAGCGACCATAAAATATTTTATATACTATTTAATTTTATATACATAATAATATTAAATAATAATAATGAATTTTCTCATTGAAAAAATATACAATATATATACATAATAATTACAAATACGAAAATGAAAACGATACACAAGAGCTTGCAAATAGAAAGTGAACTTCTTAGTATGTAATTTAATTAATTAGCAACACTTTCATATTGCAATTAACGAAAGGAGAATTTGTTATAATATTGTTTAAATAATATTTTTTATCATTGATAATTTCTTTCTTTTTGCAATTATTTAATATAATAATTTATGAATAATTTTATAATTTAATTAATAAAGTGATGTCGAATAAAATTTTTCTACATAAAAATTAGTAAAATTAGAAACATTACCTTTTTAAATTAAAATTTAAAATATTTTTTTTTAAATTTACCAGAATATCTGATTGGTCGAGTTTGCCGATGAGATCGGCAAAAGAATTCCTATCGGCGAAGAGCCAAACTCCAACTGCTAATGCAGCACCTCCTGCTACCTGTAAATGAACAAATAACTAATAAATGTAAATAAAAATATAATTAATTCTTTACAACAAAAATAATTATAATGTAAATAAACTTATTTATAAAAATTTAAAAATTATTAAATAAAAATGTAAAGTTAAAAATAAAATTATTTTCTATTGATTATTAAGTGATTATCTTATACAAAGCGCATCATAACATGTTCAAATTTTTCATCTAATATTTTCATTACAATATAACAAATACTATATTTCAAAATGCAATAAACAATTATTAAAACAAATAATATAAAAACATTTTATGGTATTTTATATTTTAATAATAATGAAAATTAATTTATGTGTATTAACATATTTTTTTAATCCTTTCTTTATACTTACGAAGAAAACGAAATTGAAGAAACATAGAAAATACTTGGCACACTGTGAAGCACAGCCCATTTTGGCTCGTTCACTGAAATATCTGCAACTGAACAAAGTAAATATTGTTCAACACTTCCGCATAAACAATATTATTACATATACTATTTTAGTAATAATTTATAGAATTTCGTTGTTTATGATAAATTGGTATATTTTATTTTAACTATCCATCGTTTTACAATTTTCTTAATTAATCTTAATTACAATTATTAAAATTAAATATGATAAGATTATTGATAAGACTGAAATTCAATTGGTATAAATCTAAATCAAGAATTAATTAATAATCTATTAATTTTAATTTCAATACGAATTTCAATTCTACTAAATTTCAATAATTTACTTTAAAGAAAACAAAACTATTATTAAGAACATCTTTATGCAATGCTCCAGTTTCTCAATTAAGACGTATTTCTCGCTGAAATCATCGTAGGCGGGAAACAAAGAGCTGCGAAAATTGGTCGAATTAAACCGAATTCTTGTTAATTAAGAATATGTCCTTCTATTCGTAGTCGAATAAATCATCTACCAAAAGATATTTTAATACGTTTAATTTTATCATGACAGTTGCATTTATACAAAAATATTTGTATATGAATATGTAATATATATATATATTATATGCATATACATGTACTATATGTATATATATATATGTATATATGTATATACATATGAAACATGATATAATATTGTTTATATGTATATATAATCAACATTATTCCTAATATGATTTCAAAAAGTGGTTAAGAAATTATAAAATGATTTTTTAATAACCATAGTTGTTATGTTATTGCAATTATTTACGAGTCCGCCAAGTTCAATATGAAATCTTGTAAAAAAAAAAGTTATAATTTCAGTATAATCTAAATTAAAATATAAACCTTGATAAAATACAAATGTACGTAAAGAAAAATATACGTATCGTTTTGCAAAATTACAAATATAGAGAAATAATATATAGAAAAAATAAATATATAGAGAAAAGGCATACGTAAGTAAGGAGGAAATGAAAGTGACAGAAAGTATAACAGACAGAAAAAGAAGGAAGAAATTTATATAGGAAAAACAAATGCGATGCGTACTTTCATATAAATAATTGTCTTTATACATACATGATGTAATTGCAAGAACAAGTAATGTGATATTATTAATAACAAACTTTTGTATTGTACAGAGAAATTTTGATTTTATGTAAACAATTTTACATATTAATATCATAATATCCATTATTAATAAAAACATGATATGATACAAATATATAACGATTCGTTACAATTTAGTGGAATATAAGTTGAAATTATAAACATTTTGAATAAATTCGAATGTCAATTTACCCTTATATATTGTTTGATTTTTAATCATACTATTAAAAAAATTATTTATTAATCCTTAATTATTAAAAATTAGAAATATCATCAAATTGATATCATAAAATTGATATATTTTTAATTTTAAATAAATTGAAATAACATTTCGTGCCATACATTTTATGTGTCATCATATGTGATCATAATATTTCTGAATAATATTCAATAATTTGATGATGAAAAACGGTTAAAATGCAAATATTAACGCATATAGTTGTATTTGTTTTCTAGAGAAATAGAAACAGACCTTGAACATCTGAGACTTGTGCCCTTGAAGATTGTCTTTTATTCGATATAACAATTGACAATCCGGTTTCTTCCTCTGCTAACATTTCATATTTCGTCCTCACATCAACGATATATCACCTCTATATATAATTTTTATATTACATTTCAAATGTATATACACATAAAATATGAATTCGCAATGACACAATGAAAGACATTGTTGATCGTTCATCGAAAAAATTCACTGCTGATAATTCCTCTTACTTTATATATTTATACAGTTACTCATCGTTTACTCGTCGTTAATCTTTTATTTATTTTAATAATTCGTACGAAATTTCAAAACTTGAAACTTCGAAAATTCGAAAAATTTCTAGTTTCATTATTTTTCTGATTCGAAACACATGTAAAATAAATAAATACTCTCAGTTTCAAAAATTTCGAGAATTTCGAAATGTCACGAAATTTTCGATTCGAGTTTTGCGAAAAATTTAAAATTTTAAAAATCAGCTTTCGGCCCATACTTGGTAAAAGTACTTTACGTGACAGGATATTTCAGAATCAAAAATGTGAATTTCTTTTCCGCCAAATGTTATATGCTCGACTGGTAATATTAACAGCTATTTGTTCGGCATTTAATCCGTTTAATTTTAGCGGTTCAACGAGTTTGACAACTTTCAATGATGACGTAACAACGTACCCGTAAATGTATCGTATCCTCGTTGCATAATACACGCAAATATGCAAGCTAAGAATGCACTTGCACGAGAAATTCGTCGATGAAGCAATCATAACGATTTATTCTAATAAATCCAGTATGTCACTTTAAATGCAATTTTCCTTATATATAAAAATGTAAATGCGTATAAGATATATTATTTGAATAAGTAATTCGTAACTTTAAGATTATTGCAGTACAATCTTGAAGATTTGTTTTCACTGACTAGGAAGGAATAACAAGGAAAAATAGAACATTGAGTCATTTTCGATATTTATTGCGTTTCAATAAAACGGAAAATAAATATTTCTTTTACGTCTAATCAGAAATAAGTGGAAACAGTGTACGTTAAATGGAAGCAGGATATAGACATTAAACAATAAAAAAATCTATTTATAAAAATATTTCATTTTTCTAATATTTTGTTTTAATCCATTTTTAATTTTCCGCAACTCTTTAACTTTATACTTATTGATCACAACATGAAAACACACGATGATATTAAAATATATATTATCTTCACGTTAAATGTTATAAAAATTATAAAAATTACTAATAAATTGTATATATACGTATATAGAAATATAAAATATTACTAGAATAGATATAGAAACACAATGAATGTGAATTCATCATTGCTATATACAGTTGCAATAAGCGTAAAAAAAGACTTGTAAGTTGCAGACTGTAACCTTCTTGTAAGCAAGCAATTGGCAAGGTAAATTCTCGTTCAAAGGACAATGACACGTGGAAAATTAGGTCACCAGACTTGATCATACCCGGTCAACAGGTCGCTTTTCTTTTCCCTTAATCGTTACTTTCTGCTTTATTCTTGTCGGATTTGCAATACAAATATATTAATATCTTTCACTTATTTCTTACTTTTTTATTATATTTTTAAGAGATAATTATGATAATATGGTATGATTAAGTATATTGTTTAATATTTTTTAAAATTTCATTCCCTTCTCACAAAAATAAAATCGTATAAGATAATTAAATCATCTAGATAACTGGAAATAAATAAGCGATTTATGAAAAATAAAATTCTAGCAAGTTATTTGAAAAATTATGTTGTTATGTTAAAAAGAAAGAAAAAAAAAAAAATGTATAAAAAGAAACGAAGATTCAAGTTTTCTCATAATGACATAATTTTCTATGAATTTACTCCTACGTGAAGATCTAAATAGATGGTGCATCACATGAATATTACGTGAACATAATCCATCATTAACACCATTAATTATGTAAAATTCTCTCTTTTATACGAGTTTCGTGAGAAATAGACAATATACAAGAATGTGTTCACAAACACATTGTATTAAGTACAACGTGTATCATTGTAAATATGAGATCGATTTAAAATCTATTTTTAATTTTAATCTTATATATTTTATATTTTTCATTTTATTAGAAAATATAATTGTTCAACATATACACATGATTGTACAATATTACATATACATATATACAATATCAACATAGATGTAAATAATAAAACAGTTACGTACTTTTCTAATTAATTCTAATATTATATTATAATGTGTTACTCGGGTATAAAATTTATTCAATAATTAAAAAATTTAATTCTAAAAGATAAAATTCTTAATTTTACATTTTAATGTAAAATAATATTGTATTTAATAAAATAAAAAACTTTGTTTACATTATAATAAAATAAATTTTATTAATATAAAGAAAATAATTTATAGAATAATTTATTGCTGTCGAGTCGAAACTACGAGTACTAATAATTTAACTTTTCCTTTCATATACGTTACAGATACAAATATTATTTATATAACAATATATTTATTAATTTGTTTCTTTCAAACGAATAATACACACATATCTTAGGAGATTACAACTTCAACTTGGGATTACTTGGGATTTTTGAAATTATTTAAAATTATTCGAAATTTTTTTCACCTCCTCGTATTCGTATTGTAATTGTATCATGTATTTATTATTCCAATTATAATACGAATAATAACTGAACAATCATGAACGAATCAACCGTGAGAAATATTAATTCATCGTTTCGATCGCAACGAGGGACGAAACTATCGCAGCAAAAGGGAGAGGAAATCAGCTGAGCAGCTCACGAAATAATCAGGAAGCTATTAGACCGAGTTACATCGCGGTCCCGTTGCAAGTGTCCGCTTTAGCTTTCCTATCACTGTGCTCTAGCTTGTAACGTAATACCAACTTTTATTATTAACAATTTCTCATCGATCGATCGATCGAATGATTCAAATTTTTTGTTTCGAGATAATCTAACATTTCATATTTAACGCTAAAATTCAAATGAGAAATGATTAAAAATTATTTGGTATAATATAAAATTTATCGAGGCACTACATTGCATTGTTTCTTAATCATTTTTGAATTATGTGAATTGGATCGAGAAACATGAAAAAAAATCAACATTTTTTAAACGAACTGATTTTAACTAAATCTTTTCTAAAAATTACAAATTAACTTTTACTTGCTGAACCATGGAATATCCTCAACCATATATATATATATATATATATATATTAATTATTATAATTATAATTATTAACAATTAAATGTAAAATTAAAATGTACGTAATAAATAAACGTTATAACATGAAAAAAATAAAATTATCTAAATATATAAATATAAACTTATTTATTTAATATTGAAAACAGTAATTATTAAGGATTAGTATAATTTTAAATGGAAATATAAAATATAAGACATATATCATTTTTTAAAATCGAACATGAAATTGAAAATTTAAAGTAAAACATT